GAGCGCCATTCCCTTTCCTGTCAGTGAGCTTGTTCCCATCGTGGAATAATATCCTCCGAAACTCTTCAGGGAAGCCGGTCGATGGGCGAGCTCATTCGTTCGCTGGAGAGGAAGGGTGAGCGTTTGCCGTTCATTGGCGACAAACGATCAGCTCTCTCAAGGTCGTTCCTCCAGGCCTATCTTCTCCGAGACAGCGCGGTCCCAAAATACAGTGGAGGGCTCTGACCCACCGAAGAAAGCGGCTATAGCGATTGTTGTTCACCACCCACGGTAGAGAAGATTAAACCGCATCTTCTTCTCCATTGATCGTAATCTGCGGTGTTACCGACCCCCAATGCGATGTTCGCTGCCCGGTCGGATCCAGACGCCGCTCCACTGACGGGTCTGAGGCGGCACAAAAGGGACCTTGGAGGAGCTCAAGGGTCCTGACCTTAAGTTTTCTGAGCGTTCGCATCTTGCCCGATGTCTAGGTCCGCGAGTACTTCGAGAAAGGGTCCACGATCAGTTCATCTTGGGGAAAAAATCGCCGACATTCGATTTCATCCTATCTTTAGTATCTCGGATGGTTTTCGGTTAAGATTTAGGAGATCGCGTTTTTGTTGCTAGCTCAACACTCCCTGTATGATATCGAGTCGCCGCAGCGCCACCGCTGCCGCCATAGGAGAAGGCCGACCGCAGAAATGACTGACGTCAGCGAATGATCGTCTGACTGACTGAGACCTGTCTCACGACAACACGCTCGAAGCCGTGGGAACCCGCAGCGATGTTTATATGCAGTCAGTTCTACGCTTGCTCGCCAGCTTGGTCGATCGAACAATCACTTCGTTCCTCCATCCGTCATCAATCTTGCCGCTGACGAGCAGGTCGACAGGTCGATGATTTGGCCTTCGATCAGATTTCATAGGCAATCACGCAGCGAGAGACTGTAAAGTCGCTCGCCGCAGGCTCCCTTGTTGCTGTCAGATGTCCCAAAGGGAGCCTGATTCGGCGACGATCTCTAGCCTCAATGGCGTTTTAATCAAAAGTTTTGGTGACATGTCACGAGTAGGAATTCATTCTGAGATGGTCGCGTGCCATCGTAAGACGAGAAGCTGCCGTGGTTGAAGCCTAAATGTCAACCGCAAGGACCGAGACAATAATCGGCGCCTTGCACTTGATGAGCACACGAGACGAGCGACCTCGAGCGAGATCAGCAGCGGAAATCGATTTCCGAGGGAACGCTATCCGAACCTCATCGATGGTAAGGCAGCTCCGGAGATATCTCACTCTCGAGGCGAACTCCCGCTGAAACTAACACGGGGATCCCGATTTCAGCGAGAGCTTGACTGGAAATTTTGATGTTTGATTGACGGACTGACAAGTTTCATAGACACTTCCAGACCCAGAGGCGCCTTCTCGTTCTCAAAACATCCGGAGACCTCGGTCTCGATAGCGGGAGCCCGGGGGCAAAGCAAAAGCGCGACATGGGATTTTGCACTTTGCAGGTGTCCATTCCTTTGACCTTTCCGTCGACGGCTGGGAATGCCTATACGCACTCGACGCGAGACGCCATTCATCGGAGTCCACGTGGCATTGACGGAGAGCGCCGGCAGCAATGTGTAAACATTCTGAACTATCTGGTCTCGCTCGTTCGCTCCCGGAATTCCGTCTGAGATGCCGGTGGAGCTCTCGTCGTCTCAGAGTAGGTGTCACAGTTTCCAGTCGAGGATCCCCACCCACCCACGACGGGCGGCGCATTCCTCTCGACCCGTTCATTTATTCTGGCTCGGGAAACAATTCAAGAGTTACGACCCACGGTATCCGACAAGGGCTTGCAGCAGGCTATTAGGAATTCAGCGACGTTCCATGGAATTTACGTGGTCATATCAAACGCGCTCGTGATGGCCTTGGCCGTGGCCGCCACCAGAAGGGTCGATCGATACTAGCTTCAAGGTCTCATCAGTCAGAGTCTCTCTGTGCGGCGCAATTTAATGACGAAGTCATTCATGGATACGAACACGAACAAAAGAAGCTTCGTCTTCGATATCCGCTGAATATGACAAAAGCTTCCATTTAGATGATTGCCGAGAAGGCTATGAAGCCGAGACACGTAGCTCTGAATCAGTCGGTGAGACGAATGAAATAATGTTTGTGTTTGATTGACCGAGTGAATGAATGAAGAGAGAATGCTATTGACACGACAATACAGTCTGGAAAATTTTCGTTTCGTTCCGTCAGGAACTTCTTCCTCTTCTCTAGAGATTCCCCAACGCAGATCTTGGAGCCTCAAACCGATGACATGGTCGACGTTTTCCCTTTCGGATTCGTGTACCTATACGCCGGAAAGACTGACGACGAGCTCGAGGTTGCGAGGAAGTCGAGATTCGAACGAGTCCTCGACAGGACTCAAAGAACTTCAGTCCCATGCCACTCTTCTCCAAGTGGGCGAGAGTTTTCCGTTTTCACGCCGGAGTTCATTAGGCGAGTCATTTGTGGGGCTGATGATGATTTCAAGCGACGACGAGTCTGAATCGACCGATGATGTGAAACGGAAAAACGGCGCTTCGGACGCTCGAAAGACGCTCGCATTCGAAATGATTTCCGTGTGAAAAGTAACTAGGCATTTGTCAGGCCTCGGGACTCGGGTGGTAGGCAGAGAGGGGGTGAATGAACTTCACTCAGGTCTCGGCTCGCGACTTCAATAGGGACAATTTTGATGAGCAGTCGCGGATGTCTCACGTTTTAAGAAGCGATTCCGAGGAGGACCGAATGAGTTCCGGACGGCAATGGGAGCTGAGTCGAGTCGTGTTCGCTGGCGCCCATGGATAAGCTCCGTCTCAGTCATCATCAGTCTCCAGAGCTTCATCTTCTACGTCGATGTCGCCGTAGAGACCCAACGAACATTCCTAATGGGGATGGCTCGCTCGCTGGTGTCTTTTGGCGACTGTCGCAATCCGATTTGCGATCTAATTCTCTCGGACATCTTTGTTTTTCTCCGGTGGGAAGCTGTGGGCCCGATGCGCAGATTGTTGATTCTCCCCTTGTTTTCTTGAGCCTGACGAAGCAACGACCTGAGTGCCTCTCTGTCCCTTCGCCGGCTTGCGTGGTTGCTCGCATCGCCCAACCAATAATCCCTGCTCCTTTTGGACACTTCCGGGTGTGACGATGTGGCTGCTCGCGTCGGCGACGAAACCAATAAGAAGTGGCCAGATTCGTCGATTCTCTGCGGATTTGCTCTCACGCAAAAGGAATTATCGCAGCTGAAAGCCAGAGGAGGAATACCCGGAAGGCCACCTGACTGTCAGGCTAATTGAGCAATCGTCATAGCTAACCACGAGGACTGGTCGGTTATTGCCACTTTCGGGCACTGTCCGCGGATCATTTCTTTGTGTTCCGTCGAGTCTCATCCGGTTGTTGCACCCATCGAGACATCTCTCCGGCAAGCGTTTCCGGTGTGCGGCATAGCGGATAGATTATTCCGACTGCGAGAAGCCGCCTCGTTCCTTCTTCTTCTTCTTCTCCGTCTTGACGTTTGCGATGAGAACCCCCGTCTGCTGACACTTGCACCGAACCGATGAAATTAGATTCAGCGGAATAATTGCCGACAGCATAGTTGTGGTTGCGGAAGAGATTTTCTCCTCCGATGGAACTCTTCATCAGCCGAAGGGAAACAGCTCGCTCTAAGGATCCGTGGGCTAGTGCGTCAGCACAACGTTGGGACCTCGGGGCGCCACCAGCGCGAGACACGTCAAAGCCACCATTATCGCGGCGAAACCCGAAAGGAACGGTGTTTACATCAGCCGGCTCAATAAAGGGTCCCTATTGAGTCCGAAAATGAAATTTCCTCGAGACATGGATTTCCTTAGATTTTGTTCCGCTCCGTTCGAAAAGCGTGGGCTCGCGCTGACCCGCTGTACGCGCGAAGCCCTTCCTCGGATGTCGTGAACAGCGACACTGAATGAGACAGGCTGGGACCCAGTGGATCGATAGGCGAGAAAGACTTCTCTGGAACCTACATTGCGACGAGAGGAGAATGGGAATGAAAGCGGAGCTGCGAGATTCTATGGAGTGTCTCTCTTCTAGTGCGCCTCACTCTAGTCTGACCTCGGCCTTGTTTGGGAATAATAGAGACGACAGCAGAAATCGTCGTTGAAACAGAATAGAATGCATTCTCTGGGTGAATCTGTCTCAGCTGCGGCTCACTTCCACCGCGTGGAAACCGAATGTCGATTTTTCCAGCCGCCAGCTTATTAAAAAGGCATTATGCGCCTGGCTAGCACAGGAGTCGTCGAGCAGGGCTCTGAGGAGAAACAGCTCCTGTCTTCATCCGTGACCTCATTCACCAGCTCCCTGGAGGTCACTTGAGTCGGGAAAGACCACACTGGGAACGAGTTTTCCGCAGTTTTGTTCTTATCTGGCCTTCCTGAATCGAGTATACGTTCTGGCTCCGGGTAAGCCCTTCCCGTGCCTTCTCGTCGGCAGGTGGCAGGTCTGCTAATAAGGGCCCGTGATCTTCGAGATGAATGGATTAAAACTCTGGAAGCCTCCACCTGGTGTTCCGGCTCGGGAGAGAATCTGGAAACGGGAATCGCTCCCGCAGAACTCGTTCTTACTTTGAGGGAAGTTCCGCGGCACGCGTCCGCGTCGGTTGGCGGCCTGCGACTGGCCGATGTCTATCTCGGGATTTCTAGGGAAACGACGTCCCAGCAATAGTCGTACGGCGGGAGAGTTCATTACTCTCAGCGTTCGACAACTCTGAATTCAAACGATGACCGTCTATGACAGCGGGGGAGGGAACGCCATCTGCGCGAGGGCGACCGAACAGTACTCTCGACACTCAACACCTTCGTCAACTCTTCGCTACTTGTGCCCGAGATCTTCCCGCCGCCGCCGAGCTTCAAAGTTTCTCGTTTCCTTCGATTCAGGGAACGGTCGAGACGCGATTCTGAGTATCTGTAGTTTTCTCGAAAGTCGCCTCACCTCGTTCTTCCAGAGCTCTGGAAGGAGAAGAAAATACTCACCTATTGTTTTTATAATGCTGAGATCGCGTAGTCTGAAATCTTTTTTGTCCTCTGAGCTATCAGACGCTGTCTGTCCCATCTGATTCCCTTGCTTAACGGTTAGGGTGAACGTGACGTTGGCTTCACCGTTCGAGAGCCGAGGGTTCTCGTCGTCGTAGGAGCTCGACGATGATGAACTTGAACTGCAGCTGCAAGGAACAAGAGATCCATATATAACTGGAGCGAGAGCGCCATCACGGCCCGCTGAAGGCCGGCGAAATGAACTTATCTGGTGCAACATTAATGCTCCACTTGCTGAATCTTGCAGCAGGCAGCATAGCGATATTCTTAACGTCCGAGAGGTCGACCGCAAACAGTTAATAAGTAGTGGCATATTTTATTCATCAGCCGACGTCCTTGGCATTGATTCCTTGATTATGCCGGCACTCGGGAGACCGTTTTTCCGACGAGACGAGGGAAACAAAAACATCAGAATGCACTCGAGCGGCTGACATGCTGAAGAAACCGACGGATCGCCGAAAGGTCAGCGCGGTCTGCTCGTCATATCGGCATTGTCTCGTGCGGGGAATGGCTGGCGGGAATCGAGCAGCCCGTACGGAAGCCATGCGGGAACCGGCGGAACCCGACGGAGCAGAGGCTTCTCTAGAAGAGGCGACAGCTTCATGCTTTCATTAGATTTGTTTAAGAAACCAAATTCTGTCTCTGTCCAATCGGAAACGTGCTCCTCGGGGCGAGGAGCCCTCGCGATAAGGGCTCGTGGCAGATCCTGCTTGATCAAGTGGTGCGATGTCCCAGGGTGCTCTCCGAAAGTGTACACAGGTGCATGCAATGTGAATTCCGGCTCGGTCACTATTTAATTATCGTTAGCGAGCTGATTCCCGGAAATCGTACAGTATGCTGCCGTCAGGGATCTTAAAAGAGAAGGCATGCGGGCTCTGATGGACGGGAAGCAAAACTAGTCACAGAGAGCGGTCAGCTGTTCGGTCGAAGACAAGATTGGCTTTCTATTCCGCTAGAACCGCAACTAGAACGATGGAGAAGCGAGGGACGTCAGCTGTGTCAAAAACCACGCACAACACCTACATTAAATATAGTAGCTAGTTATGCAGACCCGAGCACTCATACATGGCAGTTCCTCCTACGTTCAACACGCCGAGTGACAGCTTCTCTGGGCCTAATCTCGAGATATCCACATCTCAACGAAAAGCAGAAGGGAGCCCACGAGGACTGCAGTCATGCAGCGTCATTCCTCCCCGGTTGAATTCATACAGATCTCACTCAGTCAGTCTCAGCAACGGCGTCGGTCGCGGCGACCTTCCTGCCGTCAGGGGAGCGAAATCCGAGGGGAAAGGCAACATCTCAAGTTCGTGCAGAAAGCTGCCGGCGATGAGCTAGACTTGGAGCTTTTCTGGACGTCGACGGGGGAAGGGCATGCGTGGGCGCGTGCAGTGCTGACGACTCGGCCGTGTTAGTATGACTAAGCATGCGCTTTGAGAGTTGGAAAGTATTATTATGACCTAGATATAAAGAATTCAATTGGGGCGGTTACGAACCTCACGGTGCTCGAGTACGCACTTCTCCGTGGCACAACCACTTCCTCAGGACTAAAGCGGCAATTTCCAGGTTTGTGTTTCTCTTTACAGCACGGCAAGTTCACCCAGCGAGAGCTCGTTTCTTCCGGACCAGCAGCCAGCCTGCGATTGTTGAATTTTGGTGAGCGGCGAATTCAGGTGAGACTGAGAATCAATTTGTTCCGACGACAGTTTTTTTCTTTCATCATCACGTACACGAGAGAATTATCCCCCGACTAGAATCCTTTCGATTCCCGTTTCCCAAAACGCAAAGACGCACGGTCAATGTCAATTGCGGTCGACACGCGGGCGAGCGTAAGAGGCTTGCTTTCTCCGCTAAACCAGTGAAACAGAGCAAGTCGCGCATCCTTGCTTTTTTTGCAGCGTCTCCGTGCAGGAAGTCAATCTTGCAGTTTTGACTCCGGTCGTATATGTAGCTGCACCCAGCGGCGCGTGTGCATTATGTACTGGGCCAGAGAAACACACACGGAGCCCGAGTCCATTATTCATCGCAGTCTCCGAGGCCAGAGCTCCGCGTGTCTTATTGTATTGGACATTTCGTATTCTCGAAACTCGAAATTTATTGAGCGTAGCGGTCTGAGCGCTTTTGTAGCGAAGCCGACCGCGGAGAGTGATCGCTAACGATGTACAAACAAATGTGAGCAGAAAAAAAAAGCCAAAGACACTCCACGCTTCGGGGCCACCGCTGTCCGGGGTCAGTGATCGCGTCACGTCGAGCGGTCATTCTACAAAGTACTGACATTGAGAGCGTTGGAAAGGTCATCCCGGTTATGATTATTCTGAACGTGCAACACGCTCTCGGAGTGAGTGAAACGAGAAAGCATCGGCAACAGGCTTCACTGTTTGCCAAAAATGCCCCGTCTCTTCGTTCCGTCCCATCAGTCGGATCAAAGGCTCGAATCATGCTAAATAAATAAAACTCCCAGAAGCCACCGGCCTTCCCATAGAGGCACTCTCCTGTGTGTTCCTAGAAACAAGTCGAGAACTTCGGCTGTTGCCTCTGTTGAGCCCGAGCTGATTGAGTTTGATTAAGATCATTACCGGGGGCAAGGGGAGTGAGTTCTGTTTTTCCTTCGAGAAAAAACAACAACGCTGGGGCGGTAATAGCGGGTTGTCAGGAGAGCCGGGGATTAATCGAAGATCAAGAGAGAACACAAGCGGACAATAAATCGATTCGAGCGATCACGGGGCGGATTTCGAATCCTATTGGGCGCTCGGATTCTGAAAATCTCGACGAGCAGCAGCAACAGCAGCAGCAGCAGCAGCACAGATAGCAAAACCCTCTTGCGAGGCGTACTCACATTTTCGACCACCGAGAAGTAGTAAGTAGCAGCTGATTTGTGGCCTGAAACAGAGAAGACAGGTCAGGGTTGATTTGAGCGAGCCGGGCTCTGTTACAGACGCGTCGTGGGAGGATGCTACGATGCCCTTTGACACCGCGCTCAAGCGCTTGCCATTCCGTCAGCTAACCGTGTCAGACATCTACTATTTCTACCTTTGCGGAGCTCGGTCGTTCGCCGTCGGGGGCGGTCGTTCGAGAGTCTGGATTATTATGAGGAGCCATGATGGGACTCCGAGAAGGAGTCGGTTGTTGGAATAGGTTTTCATAACAAGATCGATGATTCCAAAATCGATTTTAGAGAAATAGACACGTGGGCAGAGCCGTTCCATAACCGAAGATATTCCGAACAATTCATTTTTCTAGAAAGAGCTCGAAAGCTGGCTCTGCGATTAAATTTCTCGTGACCTTTCGTTTAAACATCTTCTTTCCACCAATAGACCCAGCGAGTCACCGCGCAGCTTCCCGACGGGAAACTTTCTCCTTGCCCGATCTAAACGATCCCGGACTGCGAGCTCGAAATCATGAGGCAATCGTTCCCATGATCGTCTGAATCTGCTTCGGATCGGCTCGCGCTCTCGAACACAGGTTCCAAAACGCAAACATGCTTCGTTTTCAGCTTGTGCGGTACAACAGATCGCGTCTTGCGCAAAGCTTCTCCAGCGAGCGCCGCATCCCCGCGCACTCCGATCCGATGAACACTGTCCTCTCGGAGTGCACTGCCACGTCGGACTAGAGTCGTTTGATGGCAGAATTATGTCGACGACAATGTTAATTCAGGAATATTGGCGTCCTGCGGCGAGCCGACGGGCTCTCCTGGATTCGGGCGCTGGGTAGCAACACTCCGCGGTACGTCGGAAACCTATTCGCCTAATAGCCTCGGGAGATCCCTGAGACAGGAAGTGTTGATGTGTGGAGAAAAAATTGTGCCGCGATCCTCGATCAGACCGGTGATGACGATGCCGCCACCGACACGAGGACGACCGTGATCAATTACCGGTCCGGTGAGCTTCGGATCGCATCTTGAATTATCATCGATACGTCGCGCCGCGGGTCTCATCCAGGAGCCCGAGTGCACTCACCATATGGACCACCGGGGCGCATCCGCTTCCATGGTGGTCCGGGGACGGAGGTAGGACTTCGGCGCGTTCCCCCGCAAAGGAGACGATCGATGCAAGATCCGTTCTGGAGAGCGGGGGGATACTTCGACCCCCAGAACCAATGTTCAGTCTCGAGCAACGAATCGACTACCCGCGCGGATCAAAGGAACCTCTTTCCCTGTCCGAGGACGTCTGAAAACGGTGGAGTATTCCGCCCGGGCAATGACACTTACAACGAGTCAGGCAACACAAAATGCTCGTCCAGGGTCGAGGCGATGCTTACGGTGATCGACCTTGAACGTCTTCAACTATAAACATGGCCATTCAATTAGGTGAGACGTCGGCGCGGAAACAGAGCTGCCAATCGAGCAAGTAATTACCTAGATTCGCCTCTGGCGCTCTCATAGAGCATTCTTGCGCTTTGCTGGAATGGAAATCGGTCACTCGGCCGCCGCTGCTGCGGATCCGAGCGGGTTAGACGACTCCCGGCTCAAGTTCACGGCCTCGGAAGGACAAGCGGTATTAGGGCGACCGCCAACTCTTCACGTCTGGGATCATATGCGAAAATAGGCCCAATAGTTCTTAGTTCTTACAATCGAGTGAAAAATGACGCGTCATCTACACGCTCTGCTTGTGAAGTTCTGGCAAGGTCAGATAAATGTCTCGAATGAAGAAATCCTATCCTAAGTCGACGGGTATCGATCCCAGCGGGCTCATCGAGGCCATTCCGAATCACGGCCATTCCGCTCGATCCACGATCCGAACTTGATTGTCGGACAGCGGATCGCTGCTCATCGTCAGGTGGATGGCTTCCCTCTTTCGTTGTAAGCCGCCGCCCTTTCTCGATCCGTCGCGTGTGCGGAAAAAAGACTCTATTTGTTTGGGGATCATCGCTGCGTTGTTTGTAGAACGCGCAGCGTGACGGTGGCTGAAGATGATGGCGATAATTGTTTCGGATGAGTTAAAATCGTCGACAGACGCGACAGACACGACAGCCGCAGTGTCGATGATCGAGCGTGCCATGACGTTCGGATTGCTTGAACGGCGGGACGCGAATAGGGAGAATACACAGAGTAAGGCTACTCCGTTTTGTATGCAGAAGCACTCCGAGCGAGACCGATCCGCCTGGGAACTGCCCCGGCTCGCTCGCGCGCACGCTCGCACCGGCAACAGGCGAAAAAGAAGTTGTCTCAAATTAGTTCAAGAGTCCGGATGCCTCCGGTAGTCAAGAGATCGACGCTGCCCGATACCGAAATAGTTCTCGAAGTCGGCGAATATTCGAGAAAGCCACCAGACTCGCAGATGAAGAGACTTACGCCCGGAGGAACATCCGGTCTGGAACCCCGAATAGGACTCCTTCATTCCAAACCACCACATGGGAACCGAGAAATACCGCGCTGAGAAACACGGGAGCTTCGCTCGGCGAGATCGTTCTCGCTGACTCGCAAAATGCATCCTTGTATATGAACATTACAGCGATGCGATTTACGAACACTCCCCTCGTTTCTCGTTGTTATTCGTTATGCGATCCGTCGGTGCTGAGTTGAAAATGAATTCCCTCGTGTTTTGCTCTCTGTCCAGGAACCTGTGAACCTCGTCTTCGCGAGAGACGCTGCTCGCCCTTGTATTCGAGTGGAGCCCTTCGGTGATCTCGAAATATTCGAATACCTCTCCGGCGGAGTCTACTTGAGCTGCTGGCGCGGAATTTCCCGGTGAAAGGGATGACAATTTGTCGGAAGATCACTTATTGTGTATTCAGGCTTCTCCGGAGGCTTCCCACGCCTCTTTCGCATTTAGAGAAATCGTTTGTTTATCTTTTAGCTAGACGACGAGATCAGTCTGTTCGCACCCGAGTGCCGCAAGTTCAGCGCTTTTTCCCCAGCTGACATCTGAGCGAACTAGTGGTCTGAAGCGATCTCTGCACGCTCGATTGACATCCCAGCCTGCCATCAATCGATCTCTCTCCCGATATCGCGAATTTCTGTGTTACCCTTATATATTGGTTCGAGCCGGCCTTATCGTAGCACTACGTAGATCATTATTTGCATACGAAGAAGACCCATGACAAAGGGTCTCCCACAAACTCGGACCGATGTACTCCGTCGAATTTCTAATTACACTACTATCCGGTGAGTCCGATCCAATGCGGAGAAGTTCATGGAAAAATCGGAGATACCCCACAAAGTTGGACAGACTCTGAGAATTCATTTGCGACGTCTCCTCAGGCCGGGGAGAAAGTGAGCTGGCTTAACTCCTCGTCTCTCAGGAATTAGGAATGGAGCCCCGCAATTAATGCGGTAAACTTGTCGATGGATAACGAGCAGTGTCCGCTTTCCGAATCACGAGCACAATAATCGATCGGAAGCTCCTCCGAAACGTTCATCAAGATTAGCATATGAACCCATCCGCGGCAATTTTCGTATGCAACAAGCGGACTGGCAATAATCACACGGAACGGTTCCAACGGGGTGAACATTCTGTTTCACCACGGCGGCGCACGCACTGGCTGCTATGGGAGTTCCAACTCTGGATATAAGCCGGATTTTCAGCTGGGAAAA